TCCTAGAGGAACAGGCAGAGCTAATATTGATTACACCTCACTGGCTGAGACGATCATGGTTCGCAGATCTAGTGAGCCTTTCCACAACTTCTCCATGGCAGGTTCCTGACAGTCACATACATCCTCCACCCTAAGGGCATCAGAGACATCTGCTGGTAGCTTGGCGGTTGAGAATAGTGGGGCTAGGGATTCATCCACTTTAGGCACCTCCAATAGATCAGTTAAATTTGGGGTCATATCTACTAGCTTGCGCTCAGGTAGCGACTCTTTTCATGGTGCTCTCCTGGGACAGATCAGAATCCTTGTCTCAGCACCCCATGGTCTGCTCCTTTCTCAAAGGAGTTACGAATAGCAGACTGCCCGTGGTCCATAGGTATCCCTCCTGGGAGCTATCCCGGGTTCTGCAGGCCCTAACTGCCTCACCCTTTGAACCCATTAGAATCTGTTCTTTGCGATCCTTGTCACTCAAGGTCACTTTCCTGATTGCCATTACCTCCGCCAGATGCATCTCGGAGCTGGCCGCTTTGTCTATCAGGAAAGACCTGTGCACGTTTCACAAGGACAGGGTGGTTCTCTGGTTGGATCCTTCCTTTATCCCTAAGATAAACACAGTGTTTCATAGGGCACAGGAGGTTATTCTCCCAAACTTTTGCCCCCGTCTGTCACATGACCTGGAACGGCAATGGCACACATTGGACATACGCAGGGCCTTGTGCTGTTACATCAAGCGCACGGCAGCCTTTCATAAATCAGAAGCCCTGATTTTTTGTCTCCTTTCAACCTTCTTCCATGGGGCAGAAGGTATATGCCTCTACCATAGGCAGGTGGATCAGGGTGTGCATAGCAGGGGTGTATGTGTCGCTTTCCCTGCCAGTTCCAAGTCATGTGATGGCACATTCCACTCGAAGTGCTGCCACATCTGTGGCATGGACAACACAAGCATCTATAGAGGATATTTGTAGGGCGGCGACATGGTCTTCACCTTCCCCTTTTATTAGGCATTACCGACTGGACAAATTTGCATCTGCTGAGGCTTCCTTCGGTTGGCGAATACTGCAACAGGTAGTGCCAGGACCAGGGACACAGGTCCCAACTGGCTCCCTCCCATAGGGACAGTGGGGGCTTTGGTAAGTCCCATTGGTGGATTCTTCATCCATCATGCTGGAGAAGGAGCGTTGGCTTACCTGAATGCCTCTTCTCAGCATGATGATGAAGAATCCACGCCCACCCCTCTAGAGGTCAGTTAGGCCACGTGTCAGAGGGTTGCTTCTTTTTCCTTCTCTTGGGAGTCATCACATCGGACTATTGTCATTGGCTCCGCCGTTGTTGAAACTGGGAAGTACCAGGCAAGGACGGGCATGACAACTTTGACAACTTAGTCTGATTGGGCAGGAGGACTGAAATAACCCATTGGTGGATTCTTCATCATCATGCTGAGAAGAGGCGTTCAGATAAACCAACGCGCCTTCCCTAATAATGTTGTGGAACTAAATATAGATCTCTCCATGTGTATAAAATACAAGGAAAGTTGCAACTGGCCTCTTTCTCATTTTTGTAATCTCACCACAGAGTTAAAGAGAGAGAAACTCTTGAGCAGGATCTATAATGGTCCTCACAATTTTCATCCCTAGGTAGAAGATGGCAGTTGGGACTGTAAAGAAGCTTGTAAATAGTGACAGGAACAAGAAATCAGAACAACACTGCAAGCTGATCAGAGTTGTTTTTTATTGTTGCTTACCTATTTACAAGAATCTCACTAGACTGACTACATTCTCTTGGGAACAGTCAGATAACGGCTTCAGGAATTTGGGAGGGAGTGGTAGAAGGGGGCTGGCCTTTGTCAGTTTGTTCTCTACAAGCTCACCAGCCTGTTCACTCATTCCCCTAGTCTACCTGGAGATTCCGCCATACCACTTGCCCTTGGAATACTGTGATGTGACCACAAGGATGCTGCAATGATTGGAATTTTGAGGATCAGTAATAAGTTTGAAAGGTCACCAAAAAAGCTATCATTACATGAGAATAACTTTTAGGTAATCATCAGAAATTCCTATTTGATTTCATGGACCTGTGTACTTTTCTCCTCCCTTTACTGTTCTTCTAAAGAACAGCAATTTATTTACAAAGTTATGTAAAGTCCTAAGTGCAGATCAATAGACTGGTAAATATATTTAACACAGCTACAGATGGAACATTGGATATTTATGATGAAGGCTACTTCCTGTTTGATATAGGAAGCGTGAATGGAATTAGTTAATCTCTTATTGCTCAGGAAAGCAGGGTACTCGGCTTATATTTTTAGTCTGTTTCCTCATTCTTTCCAGCCCCTTCTGTGGCAAACACAACTATGAAGATATTTGCAATTGAGATGACAAAACAAGAAGATAAATGAACAAAAATCCCCATAATAAAATAACAATAGAACAAGGGGAGTTTCCCTCACCAGACACTTCCAAGATGGAGGCATATGTTTCCTTCACAGCAAACTGGAAATAAATTTTAATCTAAGTATTTAATGTTCTTTTCTCTGTTTGTTTTAAGAGAGACAACCACACACATGTTAGAACCAGAGTCAATGATTGCTAAGGTAATTTTTTAATTATACTTCCTTTTTGAGGCAAACCTATTTTAATAAGGTGAAACCATATGTTGTAAAACTCATTTTGCAAAAGGAGTTAGGATAGATGCATATGCATCAATTATATAATTATTGACAAATGTGGAAAAAGGACAACCAGGTCATCGCTGTACAAATTTCTGAAAATGGTGCTTTGTTAAAAGAGCTGCTGAATTGACATTGTCCTGGTGGAATGAGCTATACACCTCGAGTAAAGGCTATAAATCACAAATATTTAGGCTTTAAGTCAGTATACAGGAAATTTTGATTCTTAGAGAGAACCACCATGCATTTTTAATTTCTCAATGACTGGTGAAAGGACATAGAACTTACATCTTGGATACAGCACTAATAATTAAAAAAAGGTTGAGAAAAAGAGTTTGCCTTCAACTACAGATTGCACAACTGGCTCTATGGAAGATGAATGATGCTTTAATTCAAATAAAATATTATAATTAATTTTAAGATTGCATGCTGCCATTTTTGGAGATCCACATCCTCTGGCACTAAGTATACCCCTAATGTAAGAATGGATTGCGAAGATGGTAGAGCTTGCAGAAATGGCTAAATTAACCTTTTTTTGATTAAAGACAGAACAACAATATAAAAGAATGGAAACCCTTTATAGACTTTTTATTGTAAATGGATAAATGGATAAAAAAGAATAGGTGATGTTGGAATTTATTGATTAAAAAGGTTTGTTATGGAAAGAAGAGAATTACAATATATATTAAGAGGATGGAGGTGGAAGTTACTGTGTCTGTAACTATTGAAAAGAAGCCTGGAAGTCATTCGGATAATTTTTTCTCTCTTTTTTCTTTTATAGCTCCTTTTTTCTACTTTTCCTTTTATGTATCAATAGTTTTTAATCTTACATAAAATCTTCTTTTAATAAAAATATTTATTAAAAAAGAGATGCTTCGCAGGGACACTGGAAAAGGGATGTTTAGTAAAGTTCAGCTTTAGGAAACACTTACCTTATAGCTGTACTTTGAATCTTCTTGAAGCATGACTAGGCTACGCATTTCCTGAGATTGATCCTAATTCGTTGTAATTTTGGCATTAAATAACATGGACTCAATATATAGGGGGTATTTGTGTTAAAGTGTTAATGTTTCATTTAGCAAGATCCCAGCTTGACTCTGGGAACTTTTTTGGGATACTATTCTGAGCTTCTGAGGGGGGGGAAAGAGGGAGGTACAAATGTAAAATACCAATATATTTATTTTTTTTCTTTAAAATAAACTTACCTGTAAGATGATTGACAATAGTTCAATGAGCTGGAAAGAGGCTTTTGTCAGTATACTTAGTCAGAGATATAAAAATTACAGTCATGGTTCAGGAGCAAAAAACAAAACAAACAAACAAACAAACAAAAAAACAACACAAAAAACCGAGCACTTTAACTGACAGATAACTGCTACTTTATTTGAGCAATAACTTTCCTTTACTGATGTTAATTGTAATACAGTACTTTTTAAAATGTTCTATAGTGCCCTCTGCTGACAAGCTTTAATATTTACTCAGAAAAAAAAAAAAAAAAAAAAAAAAAAAAAAAAATCCACAATGGGAAAAATTGCAAAGAGGTTCTGGTTTAACTATAAGTGATTCAGCATATACCAAAAAGGAGGACCGCCAACTCAGGGCTTTCTGTACCAACCTCTTCAGAAAATAGGAAATGAAGGAAACCCCAAATAAACAAATATCTCTAAACAGAGATATACACTCAAGTTCATTCAATATTTGGAAAATCACAACTGCATTCTTGCTCATTTCTGTACGTTTACACTGCTGAGTTAAAACCAAAGGATCGCTCGAGCAAGATCCAAAGAGTTCTTTTCATTTTCATTCCTTTATTGCTTATATGCCAATATTTCCAGTTTACTGATTAGTTGATGTCTATTCAGCAGCATGACTTGTATATCCAGAACTAAGTGACCCAAAAGAAGGTAAGATGATCCCCCACTTGGTCAAGACACAGGGTTACAGTTTGTATCATGTCAATTGACCACCCTGAAATGTGATGGAACAGCACTAAATATTTTTTGCACATTATTAATTTAGTAGAATCAGCTTAGGTGTGAAAAAGCATTATTTTTAGGAAGAAGAAAAGGAATGAGACTTGATATATAGAGTAGGAGAAAAAGAATCAGGCCACTTTCATGTGATCAAGGGACCCCGAGGTTGTCAAGACAATCTTGTCCTGACATAAATGGAAGATTAAAGAAGGATGTGAAACCCTAACCCTTGTTATTAATTACAGACTTTGAGGGAAAAAAATCCCAACATTAATTTTGCTATTCCCATTACTGCCCCCTTGTTTCAAGTTTGTTGTTCAGTGTCCAGGATGATAAAGAAATCTATAGAATAGTAAAGCTTTCAGTTGACTAAATGCCATTTTAGTTGTGACTTAAAAGCAAAAAACTCCAGAAGAAAATACATTATTAACAAATTGGAATGGGGTTCATAGATATACAACAGAGCATTATCAGGATTGGTTGAAAAGAAGAGATATGAACTCAGCCAATGTCTTCTCATTCTTACTAGGTTGATCTTTGATTTCTGACTTCCACACAGAACTGCCTTGCTACCTCCTGAACTGGAGGGGGAGATAAAATTCATCCGTCCCTGCTCATCATTTATGCCAGTGTTTCTCAAACTTGGCAACTTGAATATGTGTGTACCTCAACATCCAGAATTCCCAGCTGCTGACTGGGGAATTGTGGGAGTTGAAGTCCATCCATCTTCAAGTTGCCAAGGCTGAGAAATCCTAGTCTATATCCTTTGGAACACACCATCTCAGTATTACCAGATGTTAACATTCTTGAAATATCTTAGACACATTGTTATAGCAACCCACTTGGAGAGCCTACCCAGAGAAAATACTGAATGAAGAATCTCAGGGAACATCCACAAAAGTCATAAATGCTATTACAATATAACAAATTGCTTTGTTAAAAAAAAACCCCAAAAGCAGATGATTGATGACCTGACCACTTTTATCCTTTGAAAGGAATCTTATACTGAAATCAGGCCATTCAATATTTTCTGCCATACCAGTTCAGATGATGGAAACTTGTCCTTGGGTTCCTGTGATCTGATTTCACCCATCACTTTAAGCCACGATGAAGTGTATTTGGGTTGGCTTAATATGTCATATGAACCCAGTCATATTTAAAACAATTGCTTCTTATTACCCTTGATCAAGAAAACATTTAAAAACAAAACAGATAAAACTCCAGTTAATTAACTCTAATGACATCAACTAATATGTGAAGCCTGAATGGAACAGATTTTATTTTAAATCCTGGCCTAAAAATCACTAGTGAGCAGGAGAAGAATTCCAGATGTTAAAATGCCACTAAAATTACTGGGCCAATCTGATGGTTCTACAAGTGAGTTTTCTGTGCTTCTATCATTCCATGTAATTGCACATTTTCAGTGCTAACCCTATCAGCTGTAGCCTGAACTAATTTCACAAGAATGTTTGGTTGACACTAAAGCTATAGGGCAAATTGAATTTAGTAGTAATGTAGAATTACGGGGTTGATTAAATTTTTAGAACTGAAATAGGATCTATGGCCAAATAAGCACACTCTGGAATCTGCCTTCTTTTTTCAGAAGATGTACAGTATCTTGCTGGCTTTGAAGATTCTAAAAGCAAGAGAAGTGTTCAGGTGATGTCTTCAACACTATCCTTGCCTACATCAAAAGACTATTTATTACTAAAGAGCCTTTTCAGGGCAGCCTTTACGTCCTTATTCCTCAAAGTGTAGATAAGGGGGTTGCAAAGGGGAATGATGACTGTATAGAGCAGGGAAAGTAGCTTGTCAATCTTAACAGAATCTGTTGTTTGGGGATGTAGGTATACCAACATTCCTGAGCCATAGAAAAGACTGACCACAATCACATGAGATGAACAAGTGGAAAAAGCCTTCTGGCGCCCCATGGTTGATGGCATGTGCAATATTGTCCTGGTGATATAGAAGTAGGAGGTTAAGATGATAACTAGAGGAACTAGAGCAAATATAACATTCTCCATATATACCATCAACTCATTGGTGGAGACATCAGCACACGCCAGACTGAGGACTGCCGGCATGTCACAGAAGAAGTGGTCCATTTCATTGGGGCCACAGAAGGGGAGGGAGAAGATGAGTCCAATTTGTACCAACTGCATTGGAAAACTGAGAACGAAAGAACCAGACACCAGTCCTATGAGCATCCTTTGATTCATTATGGTCATATAGTGCAGAGGCAGACAAATAGCAAGATAGCGATCGTAGGCCATGGCAGTTAGTAAGAAACACTCAGTACCACCCAGGAAAAGCATGAAGAACATTTGGGAGGCACAGGCTTCCAAAGAAATGGAATGGTCTCCTGTGGCCAGGCTGACTATCATTTTGGGAAGAGTGACTGAAGTGTAACATACCTCAAGTCCTGATAAACTTCTTAGAAAAAAGTACATAGGGGTATGGAGGGCAGGATCTCTTGTTGTCACAATCACAACAAGGCCATTGCCTAGAATAGCAGTCAGATAGATAGCAAGAAAGGCAGCGAAGAAGAGCATGGGGTGCTTACGAAATCCCAGTAAGACAAACTCATTCACAACACTTTTGTTCTCCCATTGTCTGGCCAGTTCAACATTCATCTAAAAAAGACCAAAGAGAAGTGAAAAAGAAGGACTTCAGAATGTGTGAATACTTATCTAATTACAAAATCAAAACTCTTAAACTACTCTTCCAAAACCTAGTATTTTCAGATGTGTCAGACTGAAACTCTCAACATTTATCTCACCACTGTGGAATTAAGACATTCTTGGAGTTTTAGTCCAGCAAGTTGTGAAATATTGTTCTTGATCCTTTACTTCTCCAAGATATTTTCATAGGAAACTGAAGTTGCCTACAAAATTTATTCATCAGCACATCTAATTCCAAATCACTTTTATAGGGTAAATCAAATAAAATCTAGCCTGAATAAATCCTCAGGAAGAAAAGCAAGAAGCAAACTTGGGTCAGAAAATAACAAAATGCAGAAGTCATTTCAATAATTTCAAGTTCCTAATCATCAGCTTTTGTGCCCACCTCACTTTGATACTGAAAAATGTGTAATATTATACAATTTTGTTATAGATAATTGTATCTAGGATCAAATAAAATGCTGTGCATCTTTTGGTGTAAAGATCATTGGATCTTTTAATAAACTTCATTGTTTCTTAAATTATCAATAATATTGATAATAACTCTTGTTAATTTCAGTAATGTGTTCATGTAAGTGTGATCAGGGCAATACGTTTATGTTTCCTGAATCCCCTCTTAGCATTTTCTGAAATTTTCACCACAGGATGTTAAGAAAACGGGATAACATTAATTTGAGCAGGGAAGTCTTTCCTGTGCCTTTAACTTTAGAGTATCCTTTTTAAATTGAAAAAATATATATCCATCTTATAATATAGGAAAAATTCAGTATTTATTTATTGTTATGTTATGTTATGTTATGTTATTTGTATCCTACCTTTATTATTTTTACAAACACATCTTCATCCTCCTATTTTCCCCACAACAACCCTGTGAGGTGGGCTGGGCTGGGCTGAGAGAGAGTGACTGGCCCAAACTCACTCAGCTGTCTTTCATGGCTAAGGCGGCACTTGAACTCATGGTCTCCCACTTTCTAGTCTGGTACATTAATCATTTAATAATAATATTGTACTCTATGTATTTTAGCTGTGCATTTTTACAGAGTTATCAAGTTTATATAGCAGAATTAATCATTTCTAGCACATCTAGTGTGCACAACATCTAAAGTCCACATATATTTCATTTCTTCCCCACTAGTATCATCAGTGTTACTTTTAGAATTATACTATGCTGTAAATCATGGCAGTAAATTAGTCTCTGGAAGTGGACAAAATTCATTTCCCTTCTTATTGATGAGCTATGAAAGTGTACCCTGATTTTCAGGAGTGGGTAGTAGGGTTAACTTCTCAAGTATGTCCAAACAAATCTTTAATTATTTAACTTATTTACCTTCCTTGTTCAGGGACTTTAAGGTTTTTACAATCAGCTTCACTTTCCAATTGCAATTATTTTGTGTTTTCTCTCTCTCTTTTCTTTCCTACTCTTAAAACACTTTGAAGAAAGGTAATTAGCCTGTATGCACAATGCTAGGAATTGGAATCACATTTTGTCTCAGAACTTGGAGCCTCTAGTATCTAGAATTATGTAAGATTGAATGAAATCATATGCCATAGAGGAAAGTGCCACAAATTGTTACAAATCACTATCTTCTGTCTATTTATTTTAAATGATATCATTCTATCGTTACATATCCTTAAAAAAAGAAAAAGTCCAGTTCTTTTTATTGGATATTCAAATACCAGCCAAGAAAGTAGAATGAAATCACTTACCTCTGATGTTGCCACCCTTAAGGGCTAAACAAACTTGACTGTGATTTTTCTGTATATCTCTGTTTTTCTGTACTTTGAATTATGCTACATTCAAAAGGAAGAAATGAGAGACTGATTGCTTTGATTGGCATTCATATAAACAAAGGAAATCAAAGTAATGGATGAATAAATTGTATGGGAAAAATAGACTTGGAGTCATTTCTCTTAAAAATTCTTACTAAAGTACCAAAGAGAATGAGGAATATTTATTATTTTTATAGCTGACATTTTTCTATTTTCTGCTCTAGGTGCATTTTGTCCTGATGGTCCTCATTAGCAAATTCACCTCTTTACAGAGATCAGTAGATATCTAAAGTCTGTATAGGTGTTCATCATAGAAAAACTGTCTAACGATGTTCCATAGGAATTGATAGCCCTTGGGAACAAGAGACTAAGATAAGAGATGAAAAAACACCTTTAAAAGTTCTCAGCTTTTTCCATTTGAGAGCATGTTTGTAATAGTAATAGTAGTAAAGTTGGAAGGGACCTTGGAGGTCATCTAGTACAACTCCCTGCTCAGGCAGGAAACCCTACACCATTTCGGACAAATGGCTGTCCAGTCTCTTCTTAAAAACTTCCAGTGTTGGAGCATTTACTGCTTCTGGAGGCAGGCTGTTCCACTGATTAATTGTTCTCACTGTCAGGAAGTTTCTCCTTAGTTCTAGGTTGCTTCTCTCCTTGATTAGTTTCCACCTGTTGCTTCTTGTCCTGCCTTCAGGTGTTTTGGAAAATAGTTTGATTCCCTCTTCTTTATGGCAGCCCCTGAGATATTGGAATACTGCTATCATGTCCCCCCATGTCCCCCCCCCTTGTATAAAGGTATGACTTATCCCCATAGTAGCCAAATACCAGCCATGTTCATAATACAGAGAGAAAAAGCTTCAAAATCTTTAGCCATTTAAAGTTTCATCTATGTACAATATTTGTGTTAAGATACTACTAAAGCTTATATATGGGGCGGGGGGGAAGGATAATTCTGTGTAAGAAACAAGGTTGTTCATATGAGCAGCAGGAGGAATAAATGCACCAGTTCTTTTTGGCTGCCACAGCTCCCAGCCCATGTTCTGGGTGGAATGGGACAACTTGCCACGGCCAACTTGCCATGAGACAATTCAACAGTTCAATTTAATTATTTAAATTATTTTTTTTAAATTTTGTTGTTCACATTTCATTTTGTCTCTTGTTTTGCATCCTTTCTTTAATGATTCTATTCCACCATTTCTTCAATATTAGTGTAACTTTTGTCCTGCAGCGAGTTGTCCCACAGTGAATTGGCCACGGTGAGTTGCCTGCAGCAAGTTGTCCTAGACCCTGTTCCGGGGGGATCTTTGTATGTGTGTGTGTGTGTGTGTGTGTGTGTGTGTGTGTGTGTGTGTGTGAATGGTTTAAGTTTACAGTGGTTACTGCTATATGAATAAAATAGATTTAAGTTAATAAACTTAAATAAACCTAGCTTAAATAAACAAATTGCTAACAAGATATTGAGGTTTGATCACAATAATCCAGATTTCTGAGGAATTCTGGTTTATCAGCCTTTTTGAATGTAGCTGAATAAGTAGTTAATCTTCTCAAATGTGATCAAGAATATGAATAGCTCAGAGGAGATCTTAGTGTCCCAATGTTTTCTTGCCTATCTCAATAGAGATAGAGGTGCTCTATTTTCCCAATATCTCGGTGCTGTTCAACAAGTAATCAGAACAAAATTAACTGTAATTTTAAATAAAATTTAGTTAAATATAGGCATAATGTTATTCCTATGCATTTAATATTTTCCTTTTCTCCTTTCTATTAAATAGAAATTGCAATTCAGTGAGAATTTTGGAAAATTCTCTGGAACTACACCCAAAGTTTAGGAGAAGCGCTTTCATTTGCTTTAATAAATGGCAGATGTTTCACATGACAGGTTTAATTGAATTAGACTGAGTTATTACTGTACAGGAATGTCATTATTTTCTCCGAGAAAAATTATGGGAAGCTTAATACCCCATATGGTGAGAAAATTCCAATATCACCTGGAGTTCAGATCAAGATATCTGGAGACGCAGCTAAATGGATACCAGGGTGGCTAGTACATTAGAAGAATATTCATCTGTTTTATCTAGCCTAATTTAATTTAATCTAACTCTATGTAACTAATATAATTTAGATTATAGGCAATTTAAATCTACAATCTAAATTTATCTAGCCTAATTTAGATTAGGTTCTGCCTGTTACTTTATTCTAAGTACCTTTCATTTCTTGCACTGTGAAAATCATACTTTTGAATGTGAATGCCTGCCTTTTTATCCCGGCTTTATTATTTTTATAAATAACTCAAGACAATGGACCTACTTTATACTCCTTCTTCCTCCCAGCCAGGTTTTCATTCCTCAAGTGAACCTAGAACTCACAGTCTCCTGATTTCTTGCCTAGTGCCAACTACTAGACAAAACTGGATCTCTAGTTAGATTATCTGCTTTTCACAGTGCAAGAGATGAAAGGCGGGTTGAATGGAGCAACAGGCAGATCCCTTTTAGATTTCTGGATATGTGTTTTCAGGAAACAATTGGAATGGCAACTGTGGATGAAAAAAGGTATTAACACTTGTATTGCCATGCCTGGACCAGGTCCCCTCCCTTATATATAATGAATAAATAAAACATAGCATGACAAAGCCAACTGTTCTCAAAAACTTGCTATATTGAACCTGGAAGGATTATTAAAAATATAAGATAATAAAGATGTAAACCACTTTTTTTCAGTTAGTGTACAAGTAAACTTTGTTTAAAACATCTTCTTAACTTAAACCACCTATTTATTGGGGCTACCAGAATTATGCTTCAAAAAATGTGATAATCACTGAATTGTAGCAAAGAGAGTTTCCTATACCTTCTAGTCATTCGGATTTTTGTAATATAGAGCACATTGTCCTACTATTGCAGTGGTTCTCAACCTGTGGGTCGGGACCCCATTTGGGGTCGAACGACCATTTCACGGGGGTCGCCAAACAACACAGTCCGCCTTTTTTTCCCCCTTTTCCTTAGCTGTGCTACTCCTTTTTATTCTATTGGCTTTCGAAAGCCAATAGAATAGACTCTCTTGAATAGAGTCTAATTCTATTGGCTTTCAAAAGCCAACAGGAATTGTCCAGGCTGTCTCTGCCCTGCTGAGCCTGCCAAAAGTCCCATTCTGCAAACAGTGCTGCAAGTTGTCTGCAGCAAAGGCGAGCTGTCTGGAAGTTTCCACCCCTCCCTGCTGAGCAACTACTAAAAGTAAGTAAAAGAGGGCCAGGGATGGGAGGCCAGCGGGAGCAGGGAGGGTTGCTGGAGCGCGTGGGGCCTGGTGGGTGCCTTACCTCCCTTGGGCTAGGCCAGCTGGTGGCCCAGCCAGTGGTCAGCCTGTGCCGTCTCTGCCGCTTGCCAGCTATGCCTCGGCCGGCGCAGGGGGCGGCACCACGCATCCGCGGCACTCCCGGGCAGGGAAAGTCCTCAACTTACGACTGGTTGGGTAGTCCTCAACTTACGACCGGTTGGGTAGTCCTTGACTTATGACCGGTTGGGTAGTCCTTGACTTATGACCGGTTGGGGGTTGCGGCATTAAAAAGGTTGAGAACCACTGTACTATTGATTCTACACTACACAAGAGAAGGGAAAATACACCATTTGATTTAGAATACATATATATTTTTAATCTTTATAAGGTCATTGTAAACTTACATGAGATTAATATTAGAGAAGAAAGACTAAAGCTGTACTCCAGTGTTTTGAAAACTATATTCAAATACCTGGAAGCAGTTGATTGAAACATCTTTTGTGACAGTGGCTGAGCTGGGCTGCTCAGCATTTTGTCAGTAGTAGAGGAAATAGGACAAGAATAAAGGAGATTTGTGATAATTGTAATCTAGTAAATTGAGAAGTAGTTTTGTCTGGAGCTTCCTTCCCGGTGCAGGTACACACAATCTGATTTTAGTACAAACAATGAAAAGAATCCCAGAGGAAAATAAATTAGATTGCTTTAGGGGAAATGAAGCCTTTTAACCATAACCTGGGGACCTTCAATGGTAATACTTATTTTGGTTTTTTAAGCATAATGTAAAGGCCTATTTTTTTAAAGTGTATTTTTTTTAGAAAAGGCTTTCAGAGTAGGTTTTATTTGGAATAATTACAATAACTGTCTATTTTTGATTCTTGATAATATATGTTTCCTGCAAAGAAATCAGCTACAACTCTTCCTTCCTTCCTTCCTTCCTTCCTTCCTTCCTTCCTTCCTTCCTTCCTTCCTTCCTTCCTTCCTTCCTTCTCTCCCTCCCTCCCTCCCTCCCTCCCTCCCTCTCCTACATCCCTGTTTGGGGATGAGTGGGAGGAGCATGCTATTCTTAAATATGACACATCAGATTGATTGATTATACAATAACTCCATTAACTGATTATTGTGAATCTTATTAGATTAATACTGCAAATTGCTCATAATATACAGAAATGGTGCATCAAATAATGCTACTAATTCTAATGCATCATGTACTAATATTAATATAATATAATATAATATAATATAATATAATATAATATAATATAGTAATATATCAAATTTATATAGCCAGCCATCTCACAAGAGGTGATTCTGGGTAGTGTATAACGATCAATAAAACAATAAATAAATAAAACAAATTTAAAACAAATGAATGTAAAATTATAAAAGTCATTAAAAACAAAACAAAAAAAACTAACAAATTTAAAATATAAAACCCCCACTGAAGAATGTCTCCGGTTCCCTGGGACTCCCAGGCCGCTTGCTATAGCAAATTCTTGAGGAATTTCCAGCATGATTGCAGGGCTGGGGCTAAGCTTATTTTGGGGAGGGGAAATAATCCATCGCAAATAATTCCTGTCTTATGGGACCCACCAAATATATGCTCCTGGAAGAGAGTACCAGCAATATGGGTTCCCAGCCAGATCTAATGGGATGGGCAAATGTAATTGGGAAGCTAATGGATGTCATGAAGGGCTTTAAAGAGTAAAATCAGCACCTTGAATTGAATCCAGAAGCAAGTTGGCAGCAGCAAGAAGAAACTAGACAGTCACTTGTCTGAAATGGTATAGGTTCTCCTGCTTGAGCAGGGGGCTGGACTAGAAGACTTCCAAGGTTCTGTTCTACTCTACTCTACTCTACTCTACTCTACTCTACTCTACTCTACTCTACTCTACTCTACTCTATTCTACTCACAAAGTAGAGGTGTAATATGTGCTCTTCAGAGAGCATATAT